CAGAGCACAGCAGAGCCCGGCCACGGCCCCGGCCCCGGCTCCGGCGGGCACAGAGAGAGAGAGCCTCAGGTCAGGTATGTCACGTGTGGTGGACGGGATTTTTTTCTTGTATGGTTCTGAAATTTGATGATTGCACTCCACTCTCCCCTCCTCTGCCCCTCTTTTCTTTCCTTTATTCTTTCTTGCTCGCCTTTCGGTTGCAAGAGCACACAGTACAGTAAGTGTGTGTATTGTAGTGGTAGTATTATATAAATATATAGTATATGCTGTTTCTGCTACAGAGGTACAGTACTGAGGTAGCCGTAGTCTTTTTTATTTTTTTTAAGATTCGGTGAGGGTTTACTTTAAGGAATCTTTGAACTTTGCAGGGTGGTCAAAATGACGTGGCCTATTTCTGTTGGTCGTCAAAATTCAGTAATTGGTCTAAAAGGGAAAGAAACATTCTGAATATCATTGTTTACAGTACTAAGTAAATTAGATGTAAAATGCTCGTTAAAAGCAGGTGCGTTGACATATAATAAAGGAAAGCCATAAAGAGCAAGCCATTTACGGGAAAAGTTATCATTCATAAAAATAGCAACGCTTCACGGTTTTCTTATCAGTCTTGCAACGTATGAGCAAAGTGGCAATAATTAAAATAGTATTTTTTTAGATTTATACATATTTCATTAATTTTTTTTGCATTTAAAAAAAAATGAACGAAAATGTTTTATGAGAAAGAACATAAGTCAAAAGGAATGGTCTAAAAGGGAAAAGAATAGCAAATACGTACCGTACTCGTAGTTCATGTTCGAAGGACTATATGGCTGTTTTTGAAAAATATCCTGAAAAATATGTAATCCAAACGGAACCGATTCTTCACTATTTAAAATGTCAAATCTGTGATTGTGTTTTAACTGTTATCCATTGGTATCCTAAAGTATCATTTTTCCATCAAATGCCACATCTTTAAAGATGTTTTCCCATAAACAAATTTATTTAGCGGATAAAATACATAAAAATTCGTTTTTCAATAAAACACTAGTTCTTTATGGATTTCTTCCATTATAAGAATAGAGTACCCATTTTTCCATAAACAAATTTATTTATCGGTTGAAATAAAAATAAATCTATTTTTCAATAAAACACTAATTCTTTAACACTTTCCTCTATTATAAAAACAGAGTACCCATTTTACCCCCTCTAGAAAAATTTTAGCCCCAGTGTAGAAAAAAATCTTAGCTTTGTCACTGACTGAAATGTTTGTAACTAAGATTTATCCATGGTGAATGTATGATACATAATTTTTTCACTGTATTCAATTTATATGATGACAAATTAAATGGGTCAATTGGATTAGTGAGCATCAGTTTTGTGAATGATTATGAGAGTAAACTATATTATGACAATAAAATACGTTGAATTGTGAAAATTTTAATTTAAACATACTCCTAAATTTTGGATATGTGACTTTCATAGGTGCAAATTTTTTAAATTAACAGTTAGTTATTACTATGAGTAATGTGGTAAGTGTGAGATGTGAATGTCAGTTATTACTATCAGTAAAGTCAGCAATAAATGTGAGACATTAATTGAAATTTGCAGATATCATTTTACATGGATGGTTATTATTTGTTAGTTAAAATTTAGGAGTTTTAATTTTATGGGTTAGTGGGGAAACCGTGAGGGAAATGTGGGAAAAACATGAGCATGAGTATAGGATTTGTACGAGCAGTTATAGGATTAGTTGTGACATAAACATTTCTGAATTTTAGAAATGTAAAATTGTAATAAAATAGTATTCAGACTTTTGACAATTTGGAAAGCTCCTTATTCAAAATTCCCTCTGCAATACATATAGATAGATATAGATGTCTTTTTTTTAGTGGTTCAATCTCATATTCGTGAACTATCTGCACAAAAAAATAAAATTCTAGACTATTACCAACTCTATTATTCTTATTATTGTATTAATTGTTATACTATTTCTCTCATTTTGTTAGGTCAACATTAATACAAGTTTAATTCTTATTATGTCTCGTGTCCCAGAAAATACAGATTATCTTATTTAGGTGGATACGTCCAACAGATAATCAAATTGATGCTAAAAATTTAGAATGAATAAGTTGCTTTTACATAACGGTTGTAAAGATTTCTTGAAACTTTATGAATTAGGTGTCTTGCATTTGCAAAAAGAATTTCTAGCATATTTTTGTAATGGAAATGGACTTAAAACTTGCTATAGGTTATTTTCCTATATTTCAATTTTATCGTAGAGGGTAATTTGCTATTCAACCTAATTTTATTCTGATTTTATCCAACTAATAAATTAACTTATGAAAATAGATAATTTATGGAGGAAAGCCATAAGTAGCTGGTGCTTTATTGAAAAATGAATTTATTTTTATTTTATCCAATAAATAAATTTATTTATGAAAAATGGGTACTCTGTTCTTATAATGGAGGAAAGCCATAAAGATTAGTGTTTTATTGAAAAACGGGTTTATTTTATTTTGTTTGACAAATAAATTTTTTAATGAAAAAATGGGTACTCTAGTGTTATAATGGAAAAAAGTCATAAAGAGCTAGTGTTTTATTAAAAAACGGATTTATTTTTATTTTATCCGATAAATAAATTCGTTTATGAAAAAATGGGTACTCTGTTCTTATAATGGAGGAAAGTCATAAAGAATTAATGTTTTATGAGAAAATGAATTTATTTTTATTTTATCCGATAAATAAATTGATTTATGGAAATACAGGTACTGTGTTCTTATAATGAAGGAAAGTCATAAAGAACTAGTGTTTTATTGAAAAATAGGTTTATTTTATTTTATCCGATAAATAAATCTTTTTATGAAAAATGGGTACTCTGTTCTTATAATGGAGGAAAGTCATAAAGAGCTAGTGTTTTATTCGAAAATAGATTTATTTTTATTTTATCCGATAAATAAATTGCTTTATGAAAATATGGGTACTCTGTTCTTATAATACAGGAAAGCCATAAAGAGGTAGTGTTTTATTGGAAAACGGATTTATTTTTATTTTATCCGATAAATACATTTTTCTATGAAAAAATGGGTACTCTATTCTTATAATGCAGGAAAGTTATAAAGAGTTAGTATTTTATTGGAAAATGGGTTTATTTTTATTTTATCCGATAAATAAATTTTTTAATGGAAAAATGGGCACTCTGTTCTTATAATGGAGGGAAACTATAAAGAACTAGTGTTTTATTGCAAAATCGGTTTATTTTTATTTTATCCAATAAATAAATTTTTTACGGGAAAATGGGTGTTAAAGAGGTGGTATTTGATGGGAACATGATACTTTAGGATACCAATGGATAACAGTTAAAATACAATCACAGATTTGGTATTTTAAATAATAAAGAATCGGTTCCGCTTGGATTACATATTTTTCAGGGTATTTTTCAAAAACAGCACTGTAGTACATATCTGCTATTCCTGTCCCTTTTAGACAAATTCTTTTGACTTATGTGCTTTCTGATAAAAAATTTTCATTATTTTTTTTAAAATGCAAGAAACAATTTAATTCTGTATAAATCAAAAAATTTACTATTTCAACTATTGGCACTTTGCTCATTCTTTGGAGGTCTGGTAAGAAAGCCGTGAAGAGTTGGTATTTTTATTAATGAGAACTTTTTCCATAAATGGCCTGCTTTTTATGACTTTCCTTTATTATATGTCAAAGTACCAGTTTTTTACCAGCATTTTACATCTATTTGTTTAGTACTTTAAACAATGATATTCAGCTGTATCTTTCTTTTTCAGACCAACTATTTTGACTTGTGGAGTTTTGTGCTCTGTGCAAAAAAAATTTCGCTTACTTTTTTTTAAACTGCAACACAAAAAATTTAATTATGTATAAATTTCAAAAATATTAATTTATTCACATATGATCAAGTATTTATACAAGTATATAAACAGTACTTACCAAGTAAGGTACTTAGTTTTAATTATTAATAAAACATTTTAGTGTTATTTCAAATAATAATAAAATATGGGCTTGGCATAAGTTTTTTAAGCATAATAGAATATTTTTGCCACAAATTAGCATGTTTTTGTTATTAATCAAATTTACTATGTTATAAGTAAAAATGATTATTTATGTATAAAAACATACTATTACTTTGAATAAACTTACTCCCTCAAAACTAATCAGGATAAAAATTGTAATTTATCTCTTTAAAAAGTATGTTTCATAATACTTTCAATTCACCTTTTGGGCTGTAAAAGTTACTAGTTTATTACGTTAACTTTCTATTTTAGATGACAAACTTACTTCCTTATTTTACGCATAATTCTATTCAAGTGGATAAGTCCAACAGGTAATCAAATGGTTGCTAAAATTATTATAACCTATTATATCATGTCTAAAACTGTTTTTTACCATAACGATAGTACTACTTCATTTTCCCACATGCTTAAGCTCAACACTTGGTACTAAATTTATATAGTATATAATTTAATGAACTTGAATCCTTTCGTTTACTTCCACTTTTCCTTCTTCCAAATTATTATTCGCCACGGTGTGCGATAATCATTTATTATTCTTAAAATTCGGTACCTTCTTTACGCACATTTTTGTCCAAGACATTTGCAGCATTTTTCCATTGGTAATGGGTACATTTACAAATACATAAATGCCTCTGGTTTTAACCTGCAATAACACTTCCTGGCCCAACTCGTACGGAAGTCAGTGTGCTTTTGTTGTATCCGTAAACGATTCTATCTAATTTCCTCTCCACGCGCTATGCAACAATTTAACGTCTCCGTTTGGACTGTATGCACCCTAACACGTGTCGCTATTTGCCGGCCTTTCTACCATAGGCAGGTTCCTACCATAAAGGTATCCAAACCGGTATACGGTGCTTATCTCAAATTCTCAATTATCCACAGGTGACAGGCGGGTGGCATTACTATGCATTTAACCAATTAAAGCCTTAATTCACCTCTTTGAGGAAAGACCGCGCCTACAATCTTCTGCCCGGCATCATGTTTAGGCCAAACAGGTAAATGAAGAATCCCATTCAATTGAATCCAATTCCACCGGTTACATAGGAGTACTTGTTTCTTTTGCTGCTTCTACAAAAATGGAAATTGTATTTGCTGGGAACAGAAAAGCTTTCAAGCCGTCTTACATTGCTCTTCTACAATCAGACCACTAGGATCTTGAGACCCAACCAACCCAAGCAAAAAAAAAAAAGTAATTTTGTAACTTGCAAGTAATCCATCATACGATTAACCAACGATTTCTAGCCTGACAAGAAAATTTTGTCCAATACCTCGCTCAGATTCTCCATACCAGAAAGGTACTACTGGCTTCCTGTAACGCCTTGATATCTACCACTCCCCTCCTTTATCAGATCAAAGCGAGTACCAGAGTTTGCAATACGTGAGAAACATAGTAAAACTTTCAAAACGCTCAAATCAGTGTAACAGTTACGGTCGAAATCTTCCTTGAATTACAGAACGAGTGCAAGTAGTCCTCGTCAACTGTTGCCAAACCAGAAAGTCGAATGCCATATGCTTCCATCCTCTTGACATCCCGTGTAATAGGTGATTGCCAAAGTCCATCCCACCAGGCGGGAGGTAGAATTGGTGTAGATGCACATTGATTTGGCTGGTGACTACAACTTAATGGACCAGCAAATCTATTCCACACATGCCCCCAGCCAATCTGATTCCTTAAACCTTCCGAAAGTAAATTACTTTGGAAGCTACTGAGGTAAGTAAAACTTGAACCGGCAGTGGAGTTGTCCCCTGCAGAACAAAACAAACAATTACAATCATAAAACAGCAACAATAGCAAGAGCAGCGATTAGAAAATGTCCGTGTCATAACCATTACCAAGTCTCTGAGCTGCAGCCAGTGCTGCAATCAGCTGAGCATAGGTTGTCCCGACACGCCTGTGAGCCCCAGAGACCACAGCATGTTTTGCACGTGATGCAAGAAAGAAATCAACAAAGGCAACCCATCTGGGTGCAGGACCCAATCCCTTACCCTCGGATTCCAGTTACTTAATCTGTCTTTTGGTGCAGTAATATTTCCTTCAAAATGCTCATAGTCAAAGTGAAGAACCTGGGAAAAACCAATTAGGGTGTTCAGTGCTAATCTTGTGTGAATCAAGTCTAGGTTAAGAAGGAATCCTACCACCAGGTTGGAATTTCATAAAAAATAAGAGGCTCATATTCAACATGCAAAGAACTTACCTCTGCAAATTCCATAAGATTTGGTCCAATATCTTCCAGCAAAGAAGGCGTATCAGAAACTAATACTACTTTGGGCCTGGAAGATAGTTTGCCGGCAGCCTTCCTAACACAATCCAGAGCTGCCCACACAGCTCTCACAGACCTAATACAATGGTCAAAAACTTCTTATGTAAGTAAGCTCATGGAGGTTAAAATATTGTTTGATTCAATTTTAGAGAAATATCTATGCAAATCAGTTGCAATCCCACATACAATCTACAAGGTATGCTCCATTTATTTATCATGAACATCCAAATGGCATCCAAGAATTAAAGGTCATGCAAAACAAAAGCCACAAGAGATTTTGGTATTCTGACTACCTATTCATAAGCATCCTCATGTGCACCGCAATATCAGGATCAGCACCACCACTAAGGGCCCAGTTCAAAGCATGTTCTACAATTTCCGAAGGAGATATAAGCACTCTCATCAGCTCCCCAAATACATTAGGTCTGTGCTGCAAATTTTCTGGCTCTCCAAAAAGATCAGAAGCAGCCTTCCTCATCTCTGGGTGCATGCTCTTCAAGAAAAACTGAGCAGCCACAGCATCTGTGGTATTCTGGAACCTGATGTACAAAACTAAAGGATCACCTGATAATATCTTAGCAGGTATATCAAAACAGTAAACATAATATCATATTCACATCTAACCATATTATGGGTTGGTGCCACTCCCTCCAATTGCCACATAGAACATTAGTTCGTGACGGCTTCTGAAAATCATCAATCCTCATAACAAGATGTCTCCCATATTTTGCTACACAACCATTCATCCTCCACAGATGCTTGACTTCCGCCAAGGTAAAGGAAAGATTCGAATACAAAATGTAATCTCCAAAAGGATATTTCCCCCTGAAATGAGAACCATACCATTCAAATGAAAAACCGTTTAATACAATCACTTGATGAACCACCTTTCATGTTTTAGACATCGCATGATCAACTTGTTCTTTTAATCCTGTATAGGAAATTATATTCAATGGACTGTCATTCTATGTCTAGATCTGAAAGTGAAGTACAACTTTGGGATCTAGCAAAATTTACCCATGAAAAAAGCTCCAGGCAACAAGACACTGACTGACATTTAGCCTAATTGTAAGAAAGTAGCATATTTGGATGCATGTCAAGAAATCACAAAATCCAAAACTAAACATGAACAGCAAGGCTTGAGAGAGAACCAATGTGCCTGGTCTGCCCGATAATCAAAGACCGGTTCAACATCACACTTATAGCTGCGGCAGTTAGGATCTTGTACATTTCATTACCAAACCCTGCTTCTGATGCTTTTCCTAACACAAAACCATGTCTACAGAAGTGCTCCGGAGGCAGCGCTCGGACTGTTGGAGCACCTGAGAAAAGTTAGTAAAGTGTATGAATGAGCATGAGATGATTAAGAGGTATGTTTTTCAATAGTGTAGATATCAGAAAAACCACAGTTGGCTAGCGTAAACAGCTAGCTATTGGGCAGAATGTTTAATTAATGCTTGACCTGAGACCAGCCAACGTACTCAAAATACACTCCAAATAAACAAACAAAAAGAATCCAACTGGTTTGCTGCAATTTGGGAAAGCTTTCCAGGTTGGTAGTATATTATTGTGTCTCGAAAAGGAAACGCGAGGAAGTTTAATTTGCACATGGTCATTAAATAAGTTGGCGAACCTCGTCTAGCTGAGCAAATCATAGCCAATGGGCCCAATGAACTCTGTTTTCTTTGCTAAATGATGCTAGGCCACAAGAAGACGTTTTAGCAGAAACATAAGCACGCAAAAGAGAAAGGGGTGAAATCTCAATTAACAAGTCGCAGCAAAGAAGGAAGAGTTTTCCAGGCTAGAAACTAAGTGGATAAACAAAGAATAAGCATTGCCGGGAGTCCTAAAAGAAATCCTGCATACCTGGAACTACCTACCTACCAAAAAAAATTAGTACGGGGTAGTGAATGAAGTGATTAGTGCTACTTCGAAGGAAGTAGTGCTGCTCAGGTGTGTGATTGGTAGGAGTAGATTACCGTTGAGACGAAAGTGACTGTGGATCATTTGCCTGGCTCGGAGACTCTCCTCTCCAGATCCTCTCCCAAACATCTCCCCCATCTCTTCAACCGTTGCGCATCCTCCTCCTCCCTTGCTATCATTCACAACCTTTGCCTTTTCTTCTTCTCCTTCTTCTTCTTCTTCTTCTTGAATTCCGAGGTGGGTGGTCTCATTGATGTCGGCGGAAGGCTCGATGGATCTGAGGGCAAGGATGAGCAATCCCAGCACCGTAAGCGCTGCACTGGCGATCAAAAACCAGGACCCCAAAGACAGTCGCCTCCGCCGCCACCCCGACCCGACCGGGCCGACCCCCCCTCGCCACCATTCTCCTTGGTTTTTTTAATATTTTTTTCCCTTTTGGGGGGCACCGAATCTGAATCTTATATAGCACCGTCGGTGGGTTGGAGTTGACACTTGACAAAATCAAAAGAAAGACTAGCTCTTAGCCTCTTGCTCGAACTTTCAGAAGCTATACTCGTACCACTGTCAGATTTCGCTTCATTTCATTTCTCTTTATTGGTACGGTACAATCAAGAAGATTTTTGTGAAGGATACTAACTGCTAATTCTAGATCCGGACTTTCTGCTTTGATGTGATATATGGTGAGTTCAAAAATATTTTTACGATGAAGTAAAAAATTATTTGAAAAAATTTGTTATCCCTCTCAGCTCTTAATAATCTCGGTCCAAGTTTTATGCTACGCTACGTTGTTTTTTGTCCTTCGCATGTGGTTTCAATTCAGGGTAAGTTTGGATAGTGTATTATTTGAAATATTATTTGGAATAATTACTATAGCACTTTTTGTGATGTGATGTATGTGAGATAAAAAGTAGTTGAGAATATAGAAGGTAAGTTGGGAAATGTGTTTGTGATGCAAGCGAAATATTATTTGAGATAATTTTGGTATCCAAACATTTTTTATCTCTCTCTCTCTCTCGCGCGGACGTTCGACTAAAACGAAAGGAGAGTTGAAGTAAAACTAATAATAATACTACTACAGTACTACTTCATTTAAACCAAGAATGGTAGAGAACATTAAAATATGTTAAGAGATTAGAGAGAATATATTTTTCACTCGCTCATATATTGAAAAGTAAAGTTACAAATGAGGCTTATAAGCCCAAATGTACATATATCTACATTAAAATAAATATATGAATATAGTAGTTCATGATGAATTAACGCCCATGTTTATATGTATATATATAAATTTCGCTATTGCAAATATGTTGTGTACAAATTATCTTTTCATAGAAAATTAATTATCTTTCCAAACTAATTACTTCCAACTCTACAAAGATTAATTAGTGCAAAAAACTTATACATTTTAAACATTAATATTTACATATTTTTTGTTAAAATCTCAAACAGCACCTTCTTAAAATCACATTTCATTACAAGGATCTCAAATGATATTTTATTATATAATTTTATTCAATTTATTATAAAAGTTGTAAATTAATTTTGAAAACTATTACTTCTGTGCATTTTAATGGCTCAAATTCTCTAGAAGCTTTCCTTACTAATTTTGAAGAGTTTGCAATTATTTTTAATTTTTTTCTAAAGTTTAGTACACACGATATCATTTATTTTTACAAATTACAAAGAATCACTAAATTGCATGTAATTATTTAAAGTTAATGAATTAATTATTTAAAGTTAACGAATGAATTTTTCCTAACAGTAAAGTTCGATAAAAGAATTCGCTTACTTAAACGACTGTTTGTTTTATCATTTATTTGCTGAAATTATTATTCAACACACCCAAACGCTTTCATAAAATACACGCAGCTAGTTTTTTTTTTTTTTTTTTTCTCGTTAGCACGAGCTTTCAGCCATAACCTTTCTATTATGCAGACAAAAACATGCATGTTTCGTTGCGTCAGCACAAGCTTTCCACCACAGCCTATCTATTATGCCGACAAAAAACACATATGTTTCTTCTATCAAACAAATAAACTTTCAGACAAACATATGTATGCCATCCCACATGCAAACACCTATTCTATATGAGATATAGTTTAGAAATACTAAAAATTGATAAAAACTAATTTAATACACCCTAAAAGTAAAACATAATTTTGGTACTAAATTATATAACATAGACAGAATAGAATGTTTCAATTCAATACTTAAGTTTATATGATTATCAAATGGGTTATTATTACTTTACTCCGTTAACGTTCGGTGCCACTATCAAATTTCCCCTTAACGTTACATTTTAATTACTTTACTCCAAAGACTAACGGTCAAATTTAACAGATTTTGTTAATTAAAGTGAAAAGACATATTTAACCCTTAAAATTATTATCACCTTACCCCCATAAACTATATCGTCGTTATCAATTTACCATATAGAGTTATTTTTTAAACAATTTTTCCCACCATTAAACCAACATAGCAAGTTAAAGAACTTTAGAAAAAAGTACCCTCCTTTTTGTATAATAAACATAATAAAAAATTTATAGTGGCTCTTCTCCTTTTTAGTATCAAGAAATAAAGTCAAAATATTAATCTCTTTCTTCCTGACAATCTTATTAATATTAAAACAACTAGAAAGATGGGGAGAGGGAGGTGGAAGGGGAGGAGGAAGGGGAGAAAGAGATAGAGAGAGAGAACTCAATTCTTTTTTTTTAAAAAAATACAAATAAGAAAGAATTAAATACGTATTATTTTAAATTATTTCACTTTTCTGTTTACCATCAAATTTCAATTATAATTCTGACAACCTTAAAGTAATATGATAATATTAGACTCTTCTTTATTTTCTTTCTTTGCAAAATCTAATTTTCTGTCTCATTCTTTCCTATCTCCTTTTCTTTCTAGTATTAATAAGTTTTAAAAAAGAAATTTGAGAAAATCTTTTTATTTTTATGTTTTTGAATCTCTTAAAGTGAAAAAAAAGGAAGAATAACCATTCCAATTTTTTATTTTTAATTATATATAAAAAGGGTAAATATATTTAAAATTTTTTGACCATACTAGTTAGATTAACGATCAGATAAAATGCTTAGAAAATAATGTTAAGAATTAAAACCATTGTATCACTATAATTTCAAGGGATAAAGTGATAACAACAGTATGATAATGCTATAGAATAAATGGTATTTTTATTCAAAATTTCTTAACATATAGACAATGCTATACCCCATAAAAATATAAATTTGAAAAATAAAAATGGTATTTGGAAAAAAATTCATTTGTATCAATTTAATTCGATATGCTCAAAATCGATTTCTTATGAATTTATATTTTTTCCACCATCTTCTTAACCCTTGCTCAAACCATTAAATTATACCAATTATTATAAAAATCAACTCAAAATAAGCAAATAATTAGTACCCCACTTTATCACAATCACAAAAGTAAAAGATAAATAAAATTTAATTTATTATAATTTATAATATAATATTGCATATTCATCCAAAAAATATGAGTAAGAGAGAATGATGGAGAAAAGGGAAAAAAGAAGAAAGTGACTTCCATTTCTTTTTTTAAAAAAATTTTGAGCTTCATTTATTTAATATGTTGTAAATTATGTGTTAAGTGAGGGTTAGTATAGTATTTTTACAATTATTATGGGAGGTAAGTGATATTTCTAATATCTCAAGGGTGCTAAGTGATATTAAGAGAAACCTCAAGGGAGGTTTCTGATATTATCCCAATCTAAATTGCTTGTTGTATTCTTCCTAAACTACTTTTTTTTTTTTCTACTCAGGGGGTATCCGGGCTTCGGGTAAGTCGGACCCGACTAATTCCCATGAGATTCGAGAGGAGAGGCCTCATCCCCTCGAACCGGTAATCACTGGAACTCGATCTCTGATGGGGGAGAATGGACAACGGGACATTAGGAGGTTTTCCGTGACCAATCGAGATACCCAGGAAGGACATATTCTTCCTAAACTACATGTATGCCAGATTTAAGGTACAAGCTGTGTCATGATTCCATGTAAATGTTTCAACATTGTATGTATTGACTATTACAAATTTCAACATAAGAACTATCGATTGATATCACGTATTGATGGAGTATTTATTAACTTTAGTACGTTTGGTCTCCTATCTCCCATAACGTGTTCTCTTGTTGGTCACCATGTAAAGAAAGGCTGCTCTTATATATTATACGAATATATATATATATATATATATATATTATATATATATATATATATATATATATATATATATATATTTTGGTTCTGGTTCAAAGAAAGACAAGTAGTCATGAAGAATGGGAAGAAAAGAAAGGACTAAAGAGTTGAACCAAACCTAACTAATGTTCCTGCCAACTAACCTAGGTATTAAAGTATGAAACTTACACAAATACTATACTCAAACGATAGTTGTCTCTAATACAGTAAAAGGAGACGATAGCGTTGGCTCCAAATCAAGTAATCAACTAAGATGGAGTGTGAATATTTGAAGGAGGTTCCAAGCCGGAATCATTTTAGAAATGAATTACTACTAGTGAAAAAAAGAGATGCCCAAGTCTTGGGCGCCACTAACATTGCAGCGGTAGCAAAGAATTATGGTGTCCGCACAATGGTAAACAGATCTTTTGCGAAGTGTTCTCCGAACCAAAGAAATCCTCAAAATCATCGTGTCCGCACAAACACTTGCCATATTTGGTTTTCCTCATTCCTTAGCTTCAGGTCCTTTGTCAGAGAAACGATACAAGTTACAACTACGAGTCCACCACCCACCATTTCAATCATATTCAAAGAAGAAAATAAAGAATAGAAAAGTTCAAATATATGAAAAAGTAATTGCAAAATCAAACAGCTCCAGTATCTCCGGAGCCTTTCGGGCACCCTTTGCATGGTTTGCCTTGATCCCTTCACCCTCTTTCCTCCTCTCTTTTTTTTCTCCTCTTCCGCTGTCATAGGCCTATTTTTTCCTTTTCCCAAAATAAAAATTTATTTTTGTATGAAAAACAAAAACCAAGAAACTTTGTAACTAATCCCTTCTCTTTCTGTCTGTCTGTCTCTCTCTCTAGTTTTGCATGGTTTGCCTTAATCCCTTTCACTCTCTTTCTTTCTCTCTTTCCTCTCCTACTACCAAGACCTATTCTTTCAGGTTGTATCATTGTACGAAAAACAAAAACAAGCATCTTTGCATCTGAAAAATGTCTACCGTCGACACTGCAGAGAAAGAGAAACCTCTGCCAGAAAATGTTTCTAGTTTTGGCTCTACTGCAAATGATGGCAATACTGACGACGCACAAGGCCACCAGGGAGGTCTTGATAATCAACAAAATCCAACGACTAAAGAAAATGGAAGCGAAAAAGCTGAATCACCCGATCAAAGCCATACCCCAAAAGAGCTTGGAACCGATA